TTGGACCCCAACTCCCAGAAGCCCTAGCCTGCTTGGCCAACAGTCAGGAATTCTCAGAGCTGAAGTCCAAAACATCTGGAGATTCAAAGTTTGGGAACCATTGGTCATTCACACTTATTTTTTTGAACAAAGAGATTTGCATCTGTGCGCCAATTCAGAACCGATGCAGAATCAGTTTGGTATTCCCATTACATTTACTGCGATCAAATCTCTCCATGCCATTTTAACCCTGTTGCCATTCACATTTGCCACCATATCAATTTAAAATGGAGGTGCCTCCATTTCCAGGAATGATGCAGCACGATCCGAATCAATTAAGTAGTGTCACACTACCGTAGATACAGATGACTGTGGCTCTTAAAAAAAGAACTGCTAAGGGATCTGGTGCCAAATACACCAGTTTAAGTGGGCTTTTTGGTTGCCCCCCAAAAAAACTGCACCGAGTGCAGTCGGGACAAATGTGAACTTCATGGAAATAAACTGGTTCCACACCAGTTTGTTTCCATAGTGTGAATGGGCCTTTACCAAGCTTTTCTGCCCCAAAAGACATGTCACAAAAGGGAAACGGGATGGAGGGGAAAAAAGGAAAAAGCAATCAGAGACAACTGTTCTTAAGGTTAAACAGTAATACTTTTAATGACCAGACTGAATAGAAGCCATTCAGGGACTGGAGAAGCAACCAAAAGGAAGTGTATTTTCCAGGATTTCTGGCAAAGTGATCCTACCATCCATCCCTCCCTCTGCTTCATTCTGATGGAAATTTCATCCTTTTTTCCGTCCCTTCACCACATACATTTAACTTGTTGGCCCCCTCACTGCTTTCCTTTCACCAGAGGCAATGACATTTTATTTGAGCAGACTTTTAATATATAATTGTGTCAAGGAGGCTTTTATACAGTGTGTGTGTCTAGTGATGTTTTGTATGTTTTATGGAATTTTATACTGCTTTTAGCTAGATGATTTTAGTTGTTTTTACATTTTTATTGTAAAGTTTTAACAATGATTTTATCTGTGAGTTGCCTTGGGTCCATAGAGATAAATAAATAAATATGCCATTTTTTGAGATTGAAAAGGCAGGATATAAACAATAAAGTATCCCTGGGGACCAAGGTTCATTTCCCCAATCAGCCACGAAACCCACTGGGTTTCAAGTTGTTTCCGACTTATGGTGACCCTGAGGCAAAACTACATGGGATGCTTTGGCTCAGTGGTTAAGATGCCAGTTCTGACGATCGTAAAGTTGGAAGGTTAGCAGTTTCAGGCCCAAATGCCGCTTAATGGGGTGAGCTCCCGTCACTAGTCTCAGCTTCTGCCAACCTAGCAGTTCGAAAGCATGCAAACACAAGTAGATAAATAGGTACCATTTTGGTGGGAAGGTAACAGAATTCACGGTAGTCATGCTGGCCACATGACCATCGGAGTCATCTTCAGACAACACTGGCTCTTTGACTTAGTAAGAGAGATGAGCACCATTCCCTACAGTCAGTTACGACTAGACATTCATGTCAAGGAGAAACCTTTATCTTTACCTTTAAGGCAACACTATTTTCTTTGGCAAGATTTGTTCAGAGAAGGTTTGCCATTGCCTTCCCTTGAGGCTGAGAGCATATGATTTGCTCAAGGCCACCGAGTGGGTTTCATGGCGAGGCAGAGAATTGAACCCTCTTCTCTAGAGTCATAGTCCAACACTC